CTCGCTCTCGCTCTCGCTCTCACTCTCACTCTCACTCTCACTCTCACTCTTTCTATCGCTCTCTCTCGCTCTCGCTCTCGCTCTCGCTCTCACTCTCACTCTCACTCTCACTCTCACTCTTTCTATCTCTCTCTCTCGCTCTCGCTCTCGCTCTCGCTCTCACTCTCACTCTCACTCTCACTCTCACTCTTTCTATCTCTCTCTCTCGCTCTCGCTCTCGCTCTCGCTCTCACTCTCACTCTCACTCTCACTCTCTCTCTCTCTCTTTCTCTCCCTCTCTCTCTCCCCCTCTCTCTCTCGCTTTCTCTTTCTCTACCACTTAGATACGTGACGGCTCACCGCCCGCAGACGGGGGGGGGGTCTAGCGGCGGGGGACATCCAAGGCACACACGGACCCCTCCCCCCCCCCCCCCCTCTCTCTCTCTCTCTCTCTCTCTCTCTCTCTCTCTCTCTCTCTCTCTCTCTCTCTCTCTCTCTCTCTCTCGCTGTGTTAGTTCTCCCTTAATTGAGTTTCTACTTAGAAAATGTAAATAAACAAGTAACCACAAAACAGTGTGAGAACAAAGTTGATAACCGTACACTCACACACATACACTTTCTGCAAACAAGCAAGAGTGATGACATCCTACATTCCAATATCTACACATCTAATTCGCCCATATTTCCCAGTATGAGACAATTAACAGGCCCAGTACTTCTCGGCAAAAACAACAGAAAGCAACTGCCACAAACCAATTAGCAATTATCATAAAACAACAATAGTTTCTGTAAAAAACAACAAGCATTTTACTTCAAAGTTCACCACGTGTGCTTCTAAGCAACAGCAAGCAATTGCCTTATAATAACAAGTTTTGCCTCCCGTGAAATAACAAGCGTTCCTGTGAACCAACAACAAGCACTTCTCTTGAAACAACAGTAACGGTTCAGTACAGTAATAGTTCTCCTGAAATACGGGGATCGTTTGTTAGCTATAAAATTCCCTTCGTAGGCTGATCGAAATGGAAAAATTCAATCACACAAGAGTCGTATCAGATCAAGAATATCGAAATTACCCAAGTGGAAACTACATTGATTTTGAACTAAGCGAAAGAGAAAAAGAGCGAGAGAGAGGAAGAGAGAGACGGACAAATGGACGAATATGGCTATACCGGTGGCGCCCCCCCAGCACGTAGTGTGCTCACCGGCGCCCTCTCTCACCATTGATGCGTTTGACTAGCTTGCTGAGAGCGTTGACTTTCAGCTGGATGCCGGGCTGTGCGAACGTGTAGTTGTCCTGTATGCCGTCGAGCAGCTTCGACGTGCACCAGTAGCTGTCTCCCTCTATGTTACGCACGGTCTCCTCAGGCAGCTGCGTCACGTCAAAGTTCTCAACATTCACGTCTGTAACATAGACCATTGACACGTGCTGAGAAGATGCGTGCGTGCGTGCGTGTATGTGCGTGTGTG